GTGCTCGCGCACAGAGGCGCTCACATTCATCTCACGGGCGCTCGGTGGGGGCCCCGGGTGGTGGCGGGGCGCAGGCTTCGGACCAGGCCACAAGCCAGCGCCGCAGGGAAGGAGAGCCGGTCCCTAGTTCTGGATCCCGAGGGTCAGCCGCGGGTCGAGAGCCAGGGGCGAAGAGGGCGTCCCCGGAAGTGCAGGGGCACTTACCCTCCAGTGGTAGAGCGGGTGTAAGTGGTGCTTAGCACAGGTGTTTTCAGAGTGTGTAATCCTGCACACCTCAAAGGAACAGAAAGAACCATCGATGAAAAGACAGCGTTACTGTGTTCTTCTCGAATTGGAACCTTCATCGGTGGTTGAGGGTGTAAGCCACTGTCCTCCTAAACATCACCCAGGCTTCCTTGGGGGCTAAGATGGTAAGGACCGCCTCTCCGCGGGATGAGTTTGGAACTGACACTTCAAGGCTAGTGCACCTGGGCAAGTGCAGTTCTCCCGCTGCAGGATGAGAAAGGCAAGGGTGTGACTCGCTGTCACTTTAAGTGTCTTGGTCATGCATGGTCCTGGAACGAGGCTTTTTACAGTAAGTGCTGCCGAGTTCAAACTTGGCCTCCTTAACTTACTAGCGGAGCAAACTTGGCCTCAGTTTTCAATGATGTACAATGCGGAAACACCTGGGACGGATACACCTGGGATGGTGCAGCAACCCTTACCTGTTAGCTCAAACCGGGACCCCTTTTGGGTCACTATTAATGCTTTAAAAGTATAGCTTGACATTCCATTATTCTTGTTTTTTCCCCTTACTCAGTTTGTCAGCCTTTCTCCCAAACTTCTCCACCCAATGGAGGGAGCTCTGTGAGACTGTCCATAGATAACAATAGTTAAATGTCAGTACTTTCCTAGAAAAATAACTGCAACACCTTTGTCACGGAAGCATTGAATTCTATGGACTGGGAAAAGAAATGTATCCAAATATACATGCCCAGTGAGGAAAGGCTGGGTTTAGGATTTCTTGTGGCGATGGTGTCAGAATTAGACCACCACATTATTCCTTTCTCCTCTGCTGCACTACTGTCAGACATAGCTGCTCACTTTCCTGCAGCAATGACCCCTACAAGCAATTACAGTAAGTCCATGCAAACTGCAGGATGGTTTTCACTCCTCCTTACCCAGGGACCCAACTTAACCCAGTAGTTTTGTCTCTGTGTTTTTGTCTTCCTGTTTCAAGCTAATCGTCTTCCTATATTTTTCCTGGAGTGGAAAGAGGGGAGTGGAAAAAAGTGAAAGTATCACTTTGAATGTCTTGCTCATAGCAAGCATGAAGGCCCCATCTCCTCTCAGCAGCCTCCACAGCAGGCACCAGGAGTGAATGAAACCCCAGGGTCTGTTGAGACCAGCTCATACTGCCTGCCTTGTGCCTAATAGACAGCTGCCAGCCCAGCCACTCTGAAGCAAGTAAGAGGATGCTGCGTGGTGGGCAAGGCCACATGGGAAATGGCCGTTGGGTTTTATCCCTACCTAAGCAGACCTGGCATACCTGCCTGTCCTAGCTGACTGGAGAATCCTGTCATAGTGACCATGATTGTCTTAAAAATAATAATAATAATAATCTCCAGAGGGGGGAAAAAAAAAAAAGGCAGCTGCCTCAGTGGTGTGATTTCAAGGGAGCCAGACAGGATTGGGCCCACAGATTTTCGCTGCCCCGCATTCTAACCACAGGTTGTCATACATAAAGCTAGGGCTGGAAATTCACTTGCTGGGTGCAGGGAGCTTCCAGACGGTTGTAATTCTGCTGCTTGACTGCCCAGGAAAGTGTTTCAGTAGAGTACACTGCCTTAATGACGGTCTGATAATCAGGAAGAAGTTTGTTGTTGCCTGTGTGTGTGTGTGTGTGTGTGTGTGTGTGTGCGGTGTGTGCGTAGGTGCACTCGCGCATGTCCGCATCACATTTGATGTCTTTCTTCCCCACATCATACGGCCAGTCAGTCATATCTACTGACCTGCTGATGCTATTCTCAAGTATCTCTGGTGCTGGCCCATCCCCAGGGCACTGCCTTTATTCAGTTATTGCAGTTGCCTAGTTACCGGACTTCTCCAGGCCAGCCGTCACAGGAGTGCCCAAATTAAATGAAAATTAACTTCAGAGGCCAGCCTGGTAGTGCGGTTAAGCACGGCATGTGGGACTGGATTCCACATGGTCGACTGCCGTTCGAATCCTGCCCCCGTGGCTTGAAAAATAACGCTGGGCACATAGACCTGTGAGCCCAAAATGTTGCCAGGTCGGAGAAATGAAGGAAAAACATTGCAGTGGGCCTACACCCCACTGTAGTCTCTCTGTTTTGTGAGCTCACGTACTTTCTGGCAATTAAACCAGTACTTTTAAGAGAAAGAAAATTATGAAAGGAGAAGAACTCCAGGTAAAGCACAATTGCAACCCTAACCGCCCCTCAAAGACCTTTCTGTAGCCTACAGAATAAAGGCCACATTATTTGACAAGACAAGACAAATAAAGTCCATTGAAGTCAAAACCCTGCGTCCCTCCCTTGCCCAAACCAGCTGCCATTCCTTTTTGTCAAACAACAGAGCCATCCTCTTGTTCCTTGTTTTGTTTATAGCCTGGAACCCGTGCGGAGGCGCTCAGTTACTGTGAATTCATCATTCCTTGCTCTTTTCTTCAAGTTCTTAGGAAATATGTTAGACTTTATCAGATATTTGTTTTCTATTCAAATGGATTTTGAATACAGATGTAACTGATATTTACTGATGGAACTTAGAAAATACAGAAAAAATTAAAAGAAAAGAAAAGTCATCTGAAATCTTACCAGTCAGGAATAGACCTATTCGTAGTTGTTGGTTTTGTTTTTTTTTTTTTTTTGAGAGGTTTTTGCTATAGGGGGCGTGCGCTCGCCAGACAGACAGAGACATAGAGACAGAAAGTGAGAAATCACCCCCCAGGGGGGATGATCACACCACAATTCCTTCTCCTCCATTCTCCTCTCGGGATCTTGGGCACACTCGCACACGCCCCCGGCGTGAGTTTTAAGCCACTGGGTCCAGGACACGAACCGCAGTCGACTACGTGGGAGTCCAGCGACATAGCCATTACACTAACTGCTGGTTCCCTAGACCTATTCATAGTTTGATTTTCTTTGTTGTTGTTGGATTGTTTGTTCGTTTTTTGTCATAGGGTGTGTGTGCTTGCAAGAGACAGTGAGAAAGAAAGTGAGAAATCACACTGCCCTCAGGGGGACAGCCATGCTGCAGTCCCTTCTCCATTGTCCTCTCAGGATTTTGGACACACATGCACATGCACCTGGCGTGATTTTCAGACCACTGGGTCCAGGACTTGAAACATAGTCAGCCATGTGGTAGCCTAGAACTTTAGCCACCATGCCACCTGACCTATTCATAGTTTTATATATTTCCTTATCATCATTTTTCTCACGGGCCACTTCCTGTCCTCATCCATTCAGTGTCAGTCTCACCGAATGAGATCGACTATGCAGTGCATTTTCCGGGAAGCCCATGTGACATCCCAGTCTGTTTCTTGATTGGCTCCTGTTCTGCCAGTCCCCTAAGTTACGGTGTTTCCAAGCATTCTGTCCTCCCAGGTTTCATCTTCTCATTCTACCTGCATTCTCTTTGGGTGCTCTCATCCACACCCAAAGCTTCAAATATCACTCTTTGGTGATGACTCCAAAATCTCACTTTTGCTATTTGAACCCACGATCTCCTACACATTTTTTAGGTGCAACAAATTAGAAGCCTAAAACTGAACATGTAACTTTTTCTTCCCAGCCTGGACAGGATGTTACATCATTGACTAGACAGGAAACTGGGAAGTGTCACAGACTCCTCCTCCTCCTGAGCCCCTGGGGTTTCCTAAGACATGAGTATTGCTTTCACTTTTCCAGGCTTCTCAACTCACAGAACATAGAATGACTTTTACTGTGTTTTCATGTCCTTTGTGGCATGTGACCACAGACCAAAAATGTAGATTTGACCCAAAACTTGCACATGGTATCGGTATAGTCAGTCAGCCTTTTGATAAGATGCATGTAGTCATAAATGTGGAAAATGGATCACTATAGCAAAATACAGCATGTTTTAGAAGTCTGTGGACAAAGGAATCTTTGCCCTACCAAGGAAATCTGACCAAACACTTTAGTGTAACATATCAACTGTTATGTTAGCAGTCTTGGATGGAGAAACTAGAGTGATCTCAGGGGAGAAGCCTATTTATAGCTCACCTGTAGAACGGACATTCTTGAAAGATCTACCTCAAGTCATTGGGACTAATTTCTTTTCAGGGGGATCAGGGAGGGGCAAAGACTTGAACATGGTAGAAATTACCTCATCATGAGTGGATCTTATCTATGAAAGATATTTCAAGATAGTCAAAGTTAATGCCTTTCAAAGGATTTATTTTTCTACTAAATGAGGGTAGTTTCATAAAATAGTCATTGAAGTAACAAATGTTTGGAGAATGCCCGGGAATACTCTTTAGCACTGGGGATATAACAGTGAATACGACAAATGAAACTCTATGCATTCCTAGAAGTTTTCTCATAGTCTAGTAAAATGACATATTAATTTCCATTATGGCATCCCAGTAATGGCACCAACATTACCTTCATTTCCTATTTCAGCCCTTAGAACTATACGTTGAAGATAAGAGTGAATAATACGAGATATACTAACTAAAGCGGAAGTATTTATGGCTATGATTACATCAGGCAC